TCACGTAAGTGACGTAATTCCGGTTATGGAGGTCACGTAAGTGACGTAATTCCGGTTATGGAGGTCACGTAAGTGACGTAATTCCGGTTATGGAGGTCACGTAAGTGACGTAATTCTGGTTTTAGAGGTCACGTAAGTGACGTGGCTTAGAGGGGTCAGAGGTCACGCGCGAGGTATTCCGACCCCACGCTGGCACACACACACACGATCACGCAGTCTGGTGGGAGGCACATGTACTGAGTCGCGGCGGTCACGTGTGATTAACGCGATTTGTGTCACATAGATTCGTCACATCAGCAAACGCAGCATCCGTGAAAGTGTCCTAACCACGGCCGCAGCTCCCGACATACTCTAACCACGGCCGCAGCCTCCGACATACGCTGCTAGCGGGTCAATCTCATTATCCTCCACATCCAATAATGTCGCTCTCGTTCCCTTTTGCCTCACGCAGCAAGATAAAGCTCTGGTTCCAAGAGCGCAAGCTGAAGACGACGTTTAGTGCGGGAAGGATGAAGACTCGCTGGGAAGAGGATTATCAGCTTATTCCTAACGAAGGGCTCTTTGACGAGTATCTAGAGATGGGTGGGTGGCTTTCGTCGGCATTTGCCATCTGTTTATATATATCTTATTATCATTTTACGATATCTTGGAATCTTTTATATAGATTATTGTTTTATCAAGAGCTTATATAATGGTATTATAAGCTCTTGGTTTTATGTATATGAATTATTTATGTGATTTTGAAGGTTTAGTGTCCGTGGTAATTGACAGTAGATTGTTGTAATATAAATTAATTATTGTAGATCTGTAAATAAGTAACGTAAGTAATAAGTAATAAGAAACGTAAATAATAAATAAAATATAACGAGTCATCTTCGTCGTACGTTACGAAAAATGCCTCAACCGTTCCTTTTCAGTCTTACAGTTTGGATTCATAACGATCTTCGTCGCTGCATTTCCGCTGGCGCCAGTGTTCGCGCTCCTCAACAACTGGGTGGAGATCCGGCTTGACGCTCACAAGTTCGTCTGCGAGACTCGCCGTACCGTGGCCGAGCGGTGCCAGAACATCGGCATCTGGTTCCACATCCTCGACTCCATCGCACAGATCGCTGTCATTAGCAACGTGAGTTAGCGCCATCTATCGGGCGTGGCCAGCGGGTGGGTGAGGGTGGAAGGGGAGAGGGAGAGGTACTCGTCGACGTACGCCGTGAGAAAGATCATTAAAAAATGTCAGAAAAGGTAAAAGAAAAAGATAAAGAAGTTGGAGTTAGTTACGTGTTAGTACGATGACGTAGCAACGATGTAGCGATGACGTTGTGATGACGCAGCAATGACGTTATGATGACGTAGCGATGACGTGTCTGGTGGTCTCACGTGTGCGTCTGCGTGAGATATTGTCACTGTTAATGATTCAGTGTTAATGAGTGACCTGTGTTTTCCTGCAGGCGTTCGTGATAGCTTTCACGTCGGAGTTTTTGCCGCGGTTGCTCTACCAGTACGAGTACAGCTGGAAAGTGTGTGTGTGTGTGTGTGTGTGTGCGTGTGTGTGTGTGCGTGTGCGTGCATGCGTGCGTGAGTCTGTGTGTCCAGTTCATAGTAGACTGAAACCAACCACGGAGATAAGTTGAAAGGGGAAGGGGGAGGCAGAAAAAAGAGAGACAGGGCAGGAGAGGGAGAATGAGGGGGCGAAAAAAGAGAAGAATAATATGAGGAGGGGAATGGAAGGAGAGGAGGGAGAGAAAGAAGAAGAGAGGAAGAAGAAGAAGAGGAGGACGAGGTGTAGTGGGAGAAAGAATAAGAGGATGATAAAAGGAACGTATAACGATGGCCGGGAGGGAAAATTTGTTTTCCCATTTGAGTTCTGGACCACAGCCAATCAGCGCACTCCATTCACTCGACTTCCTCGAAGCAACAATGTAAAATGAATACTCCCTATACCTAACCCTAACTTTAACCCTAACCATAACACGTACACGAACCCTAACACTAACTATGATCCAACCATATATTAACGCACCATTTATTACAAAACACTATCTATGGTGGGTCTGGAACTCAAGTGGGGAAAAAAAATTTCGCGGCCGGGAGTAATAAGGAAGTGTAGCGCGATATTGCATGAGTTTATGCATAAATATTTACCTCAGGGATTCGCTTACGCATCGACCGGCACCGCGAATTTCGTAGGAAGGCAATAAAAGTCGCTCTGAAACGGCAAATGACGTAGAAGTAATGATTCCCTGCCGCAGTACGACTGGGTACCGCCATGGCTGACCCTAGTCACGTAGACAACCATGTAGGCAACGTCAGGTGCATGCGTTCATCTCAGTTACTGGCTTTGAACTACGTTACTAGATATCGACGTATCGACGTATCGATGTATCGACGTATCGACGTATCGACGTATCGACGTATCGACGTATCGACGTATCGACGTATCGACGTATCGACGTATCGACGTTTCGACGTATCGACGTATCGACGTATCGATGAGTATATATACGTTATTTAACATGTAGGTTAAATTACATGTACGTTATTGTATATGTACGTGTATATAAATTGCAGAGATGCATCGAACGCAGAGCGAATTCGAGAATAACTTGACGTTCAAGGTCTTCATCTTCCAATTCGTCAACTTCTATTCGTCCATCTTCTACATTGCGTTCTTCAAGGGAAGGTAAGTGTCATCGTCACGCACGAGGGGAGGGGCTGCACTCTGCACCCTCCCCCTGCTCCTCCCCACACCCCCATAACACATCTAACCCCACCAACACACACCACACCACCCCATCCTAGTCCACACGCCACCCTACCCCGACGTCCGCCGTGTTCCTATAACCACCATCGCTCACACGCGGGAGATCCCACGCCTGTCTCATCGACATACGATGCTCCCCTGCCGAGTGCAGCTGAAGAACACTCCCTTTAGTGATCTTTCACTCAGTACAATAGGACAGCGAGAAAGATAGAGATAGAAGAGAATAGGGAGAGAAGGGGAGGGAGAGAGAACGAGATAGATGAAGATAGAGATAGAAGGGGAGAGAGAGAAAGAGATAGAAGAGGATAGAGAGAGAAGGGGAGAGAGAGAAAGAGATAGAGGAGGATAGAGAGAGAAGGGGAGAACGAGAAAGAGAGAGGGGGAGAGAGCGCCCGCGCGCGATAGAGCGAGATAGATAGAGTGAGCGTGTGCACGCGTTATAGAGACTGGCAGACAGACATCCAGAGAGATAGCAAGGAGAGAGAGAATGAAAGAGAGAGAGAGAATGAAAGAAAGAGAATGAAAGAGAGAGAGAGAGAATGAAAGAGAGAGAGAGCGGACGGCTCCGGGATAGCGACTAGTGTGTAGCTCGTGGTGAGGATATAGCGCCACTAGCGAGTAGCCTGACCGATGTACTGCCATAACAGTGTCTGTGTCTGTGAGTCATTGTTGCCACAGCTTCTACTGGCTATAAATGTGTGGTACATATGCACGACCGGCCGAACATTATGTGATTGTGCGCAAAGAAAATCATCTATGATACAGATATTGTTCATCTGATTGATTTGTTGAATGTTAAGAATGCTTTATGAATATTAAGCAGAACCTATTCGCCACATGAGGGCGCTACGAAACATCCGTGTTCGATGCCACGAGTGTGTAGGTACCATGGAGTGCTGGCCACAGGGGTGCGCTGTTGTGCAATGCGCTTCTGAGCTGAATATATGGGGCGAACCTTGTGTATGCAGTGCGCTCTGTGTATAGGGGGGCGCTGTGTGTGCAGTGCCGCGTTTGTGTATAGGGGCGCCTGCTGGCAGTCCGCTATTGTTAGCGGGGACGCTGTGCTCAAGTGGCGCTCTGTGTTATAGGTCGGGCGCTGTGCTTGCGTGCGCTTGCTGTGTATTAGGGCGGCGCTGTGTGCAGTGCGCTCTGTCGTATGGGGCGCGAGTGGGCCCGCATTCTCATACTGGCATGTGCAAACTTTTTTGGCCCGGGCTGTATAGGGCGTGTGTGCGCGAGGTGGTTCGCTCTGTGATATAGGGGCGCTGTGTGACAGTGGCGGTCTGGTGTGAGTAGGGGGCCTGTGGGCGACTTTTTGTGTATAGGGTTCTGGAATAATTTCCTGTTCATTATGTGTATTCTCCCTGAAACAGAACACAGTTCAATATTAATCTGCTTATGTTAACTTTGCAGCCTTCCGCCTCCCACCCTCCTCACACTCCACCGTCGCTTCCGCCTGCGCCACCGCGCCTGACACCTCCACCCTCCCTCCCCGTCGCACCCTCCTCACACGACACTCTCGTCAACCATTCTACCTCCTCCACACCCTCGCAACCCTCCCTCCCCTCAGAACCTCCTCAACAACACCCTGCCCTCAATACCACACACACCCTCGCCGCTCCACACACACGTATGCGCGCGACGCGCGTACACGCACACATTTCCCCTCATCGGTCACTGTCACTACACAGCGACCGCGTCGGCAACACATAAACACACACGCGGCGCGCGACATACTATACATACACACAGTGACGCCGGCACAAACACCCCACGCCG